GGGGGGGGGGGGGGGGGGGGGGTCAACTGAAAAATTGCTATTTGTATTTTAAACTCTGAAATATCAATATAAATTTGTTTAGCAAAGTGTTGCCAGTTAACGTTAGGCCTATTAATATTACATGGTTAAATGCACCCAACTTCAAAATATATTTCGTTGCTTTGCTGTTAACTAATCATGACTGAAATTAACTAGGTTAGCGCTTTTAACATTGCCAAAAAAGTATTTAAGTATTACCTTAGACATTAAACTATAAGAAAAATAGTTACCATAGAGTCAACAGATTTGTTGAAGTTCACCTGCTACAACACAGCAGGCTCTGTTAGGTGTGTTTATTCCTCTACATGGACAATGGTAACATCCTTACTTTATTTCCACTACTGGTTAGACATAACGAGCAGGCAGTGTAGATGCCTGGAGGCCTAGACAGCTCCTCGGTGTTTCCTAGAGTCAAGCCGCGACGCCGCGACGCTCCGGCGTGGCTCGAGCAGGCTTGCAGTCCCGGAGCCGTGGAGGCTTGGCACAAGTCAACACCGAGGGAGCAGTCCAACACCGTGGACACAGCACATCCCCACCCCGCTTCACTCACCTGCTCTGTGGATGTTTCGAAGCAAAATCCCCGCCATCCGACTCCGCCATCTTCTAGCACAGAGCAACACGCATTGAGCATTTTCAGAAATGTTACCAGAAGGTCAGCGGCACGAGTGGCCTGTTCATGGTGCTTTAAAAAGTGTGGAGACAGCCTGGTTGTCAGGCACAGACGGGAAACGGCCGTCTGTCTCAGGTCCTGTGCAGAACACGGTGATAACGACCTCTCCTACCGGCTGTCTGCTGCACGTCCTTGCTCTGTACTGACAGGATCTAGCCTCTGGGAGGCGCCACTGTTACATGTGTACAGGTGTTCTGGTCCATAAGTTCCTGGAGAGGTTGACCGTGGGTCCCCACCATAGACTGTATGGTCCCCAACCAGTGGTGGAAGAATATTCAGATCCTTTACTTGAGTAAAAAATAGTGCTAGACTAAAATTAATGAGGAGTGTTTTATTATTATATTATTTGATTATTATCAGTCCATCCATCTATTTTCATCTGCTCATCTGGGGCCGGGTCATGGGGCAGTGAGCCAAGCAAAGCACCCCAGACGTCCCTCTCCACAGAAACACTTTCCAGCTCCTCCTGGGGACCCCAAGGAGTTCCCAGGCCAGATGAGATATGTAATCCCTCCAGTGTGTTCTGGGTCTGTCTTAAGGCCTCCTACCAGTGGGACACCCAGGACGCATCCTGATCAGATGTCCGAACCATCTCAACTGACCCCTTTCGACGCAAAGGAGCAGCAACTGTACTCAGAGTTCCCTATATTAATTTGTGTAGTCTGTGATCAATTGGCGACCTGCCGTTAATAGCCAACATTCATTCATTCATTCATCTTCTAACCGCTTCATCCTCTTGAGGGTCGCGGGGGGGCTGGAGCCTATCCCAGCTGACATCGGGCGAGAGGCAGGGTACACCCTGGACAGGTCACCAGCCTATCGCAGGGCTGACACATAGAGACAGACAACCATTCACACTCACATTCACACCTACGGACAATTTAGAGTTATCAATTAACCTAGTCCCCAATCTGCATGTCTTTGGACTGTGGGATGAAGCCGGAGTGCCCGGAGAAAACCCACGCTGACACGGGGAGAACATGCAAACTCTGCACAGAAGGGCTCCCACGCCCAGGATCGAACCGGCAACCCTCTTGCTGTGAGGTGAGAGTGATAACCACCACACCACCGTGCCGCCCCTAATAGCCAACATACTGAATAGAAATTAAATTGAAACATCACTGGTTTTATTGTCCCTAAAGGTTATGTCTTTTATCTATTGTATCCCACATAACTTTTTAGAATACTGTTAAGCACAATGACGTTACCTCATAACAGAGCAATTGTATCAGATAATGTGAAGGTAAACTGCCTCATGTTGTTGTTGTATTGACACAGTGGTGCCACCCAATGCGCTCTCATCCCAGCAAACATGGCAGCTTTGTCAGTGGACCTAAAGGTCAAAATACGCCTGAATCCAACTATGCGTTCTAATACCCATACTTCCATATATATAGTATGCTAGAAAAATATGTGGTAAAGCGCTTTGGGTCCTCGGATGACTAGAAAGGCGCTATACAAATGCAGGTCCATTTACCATTAACACAGCAAAATTAAATAAAGGGCAACTCAAATAGCATTTGGCCTGTGTTGTATAAGACAAAAGAAAAACATTTGAACAGGGAAGTTATAAAGAAATTTTTTTTCGTTTCACTTTCAATACCTCTCACCAGTGAGAGGTACCAAATCCGTGCATCCGCTCCTCCTCTCTCCTCGTCTTATACAGGAGTAACCTTTTTGAGATACAACTGCAAGAGACTTGGTGTGAAACTGTAACTCTGCGTAAATGGGAACTGGGGAAAAGAATGAGGATGTAAGATGAGGAGGAGATACGGGAAAATGATCATCGCCAGGACCACAACACGAACTGGAAAGATAGTTTAAAAATAATTGAACAAGTTTCATATCCTGCAAGCACCTCTATCCAAACAGATTAAAAACACTCAGATGTACACATACTTTTAGATTTTAGGAAAGATGGGAAATCTCCTCTATCCACTACACTTCTCTTTCCAGACATACAGTATGTTCATTTCAGCATAGAGACATGAACTACACTGAACAAAAATATAAACGCAACACTTTCGTTTTTGCTCCCATATTTCATGAGCTGAACTCAAAGATCTAAAACATTTTCTATATACACAAAAGACCATTTCTCACAAATATTGTTCACAAATCTGTCTAAATCTGTGTTAGTGAGCACTTCTCCTTTGCCGAGATAATCCATCCCACCTCACAGGTGTGGCATATCAAGATGCTGATTAGACAGCATGATTATTGCACAGGTGTGCCTTAGGCTGGCCACAATAAAAGGCCACTCTAAAATGTTCAGTTTTGCTTTATTGGGGTGGTCTGGGGGGGTCAGAAAACCAATCAGTATTTGGTGTGACCACCATTTGCCTCATGCAGTGCAACACATCTCCTTCGCATAGAGTTGATCAGGTTGTTGATTGTGGCCTGTGGAATGTTGGCCCACTCTTCTTCAATGGCTGTGCGAAGTTGCTGGATATTGGCAGGAACTGGAACACGCTGTCGTATACGCCAATCCAGAGCATCCTAAACATGCTCAGTGGGTGACATGTCTGGTGAGTATGCTGGCCATGCAAGAACTGGGATGTTTTCAGCTTCCAGGAATTGTGTACAGATCCTTGCAACATGGGGCCGTGCATTATCATGCTGCAACATGAGGTGATGGTCGTGGATGAATGGCACAACAATGGGCCTCAGGATGTTGTCACGGTATCTCTGTGCATTCAGAATGCCATCAATAAAATGCACCTGTGTTCGTTGTCCATAACATACGCCTGCCCATGCCATAACCCCATCGCCACCATGGGCCACTCGATCAATAACGTTGACATCAGCAAACCGCTCACCCACACGATGCCACACACGCTGTCTGCCATCTGCCCTGAACAGTGAAAACCGGGATTCATCCGTGAAGAGAACACCTCTCCAATGTGCCAGACGCCATCGAATGTGAGCATTTGCCCACTCAAGTCGGTTATGATGACGAACTGCAGTCAGGTCGAGACCCCGATGAGGACGACGAGCATGCAGATGAGCTTCCCTGAAACGGTTTCTGACAGTTTGTGCAGAAATTCTTTGGTTATGCAAACCAATTGTTGCAGCAACTGTCCAGGTGGCTGGTCTCAGACGATCTTGGAGGTGAACATGCTGGATGTGGAGGTCCTGGGCTGGTGTGGTTAGCGGCTGGTGTGGTCTGCAGTTGTGAGGCCGGTTGGATGTACTGCCAAATTGTCTGAAACGCCTTTGGAGATGGCTTATGGTAGAGAAATGAACATTCAGTTCACGGGCAACAGCTCTGGTGGACATTCCTGCAGTCAGCATGCCAATTGCACGCTCCCTCAAAACTTACGACATCTGTGGCATTGTGCTGTGTGATAAAACTGAACATTTTAGAGTGGCCTTTTATTGTGGCCAGCCTAAGGCACACCTGTGCAATAATCATGATGTCTAATCAGCATCTTGATATGCCACACCTGTGAGGTGGGATGGATTATCTCGGCAAAGGAGAAGTGCTCACTAACACAGATTTAGACAGATTTGTGAACAATATTTGTGAGAAATGGTCTTTTGTGTATATAGAAAATGTTTTAGATCTTTGAGTTCAGCTCATGAAATATGGGAGCAAAAACAAAACTGTTGCGTTTATATATTTTTGTTCAGTGTATTTGTGCTGTCTCCTTCTTCAGGTGTATGTCCTTAGACCTTCAGCTCAGCTGAGGCAAGCCAGTCCTGAGTTTCATCGTCCAGGTCAATTAGACCACGATCGCTATTCAGTGGCCAGTGTTTGGGGCAGCTGGTTATTATGTGTTCCAAGTTTTGTAGTGGATCCCCACATTCGCAGTGGACACTGTCCACAAGATCCATTTTTGCATTGCTGCCTCCAAGTGTCCTACGCCTGTCCTCAGGCGGTTGAGGGTTGTCCAGTTCTTTCCGAGCAGGTGCTGGCCAGGAACATCTGTGGGGTCTTCAATTTAGTGATGGAGCCTTGATGGTTCTGCTGACTTCCAGAGAAACACCAGACAGACCCAAATGTCTGAGCTCTCTCTATTGCTGTAGTTTCCAGAGTCCCTTCCAGTTTGCCTTTGACAGGGAGCCTGACGACAACAAAAACAGTTGTAGGCAAATGAACTTTAAAAGAAAAGAAAGAAATCAACAAAATGACTTCAAAGAGTCGTTACTTTCACAATGGCTGTTGTGTCTGCCTGCCAGTGCAGAACACAAACCTCCCCCCACCCCTGACACTTGTGGTTTTTGCTGCAGCTCATATAACCTGACTGACATGAAACTTGTCTGACATTTCTGAGAAAGGCAACTGAGTTACGTGAAGGCAGGTTGAATACATGGACTCTCACATGCTGAAGAATGAGCCTTCGAGACTTTCCACTATACCTCATGGAAACTTTGAAATGCTGGAGTTCACTACATGAATACATCGTTTTGTTTATGTTCCTTACAGCGGTCAGCAAAGGTAAATAAATACCCTTAATTTTTTCTTTTCTTACCTCACTTTAATTGACCACATGATAGCCTTTACTGTTAATCTCTATCTGATCTTATCAAAACAGTGTAGAATACTAATCACACATGTGAACATGACAAGTCTTCGGCAGTAAAAGTTAGACATCAGCCACAAAATGTCGGTCAGCTTATCAGTATCATGTGGTTTCCATTCAAGAGATTGCATCTGCACTGAGCTGCTTCGTGCAGCGTACAGAAGTGCCAGCCTTCATAGTTTTGTCTAAACTGACATTTCACATATTGGTGGGTTATTTTGTTAAAAAAAAAACAGGATATCTTTTTTCTCAGTATTGAGCTTGAATTTGCATGTACAAAGGGACTGAAGTGTTTGGATTGATGGATTAAACACCAAACTCTAACCTTGTCTGTATAATGTGTGACAAAGTGCTTCACAGTAGAGCTAAAAAAAAAAAAAGGTAACTTCAAAAGTCGATTGATAATATAAAAGGTTAAATGAAATAAGAAAATGGCAGCTGCAGACTTTTATATTTCTGCTCTGGGTTTGTTCCTGTAGAAAATGTCTGTTTATGTCTGGACTCAGTAAATTAATAAATTCGATCATTTTTGAAATTTTTGAAATGTGTTGCTTCTCAGGTTCAGCATGTGAAGCTCCCTCCAGTCCCGAGTGCTTCAGGAGAACTGCTGACGAGTCCATTTACAGGTGCGAATGGAGCATGAATACGACTGACAGCGATGTGACATATGACATTTATTTTGAGTGAGTATTTTTCTGTGTCTGAGCTGCAATATTTAAAAAAAATAATGACATCTACTCAGCTAATAATTTGTTCATGAGGATTTCTTCTTCTTGTTTTTTTTGTGAGGATTTTGAAAATGTGTACGGCTGTACTTAGAAAAAGGGAAAAAGCACCAGTCCTCTCAGTGTGCAAATGAATAGGTTGTTCTACACACTACTGCTCCTTAAAAGGCAGTAGTCTGCCTTTGGGTCAGTCATTATCAACTTGTGGCAACTGTCCAAACTTTAACACCAGAAAGATCAGATTGATAGCAAATAAGCAGATGCACTGCACACAAAAGGGCTGAATTGCTTCTTCCTTTAATTGTTATAACCAATGCGTTTCGCCCATGGCTTCAACTGGTTTGTTCTATAATACAGTGCACAGGTGCTTTTAACAAGGCTGCAGCTGCACTGAATCCAGTCAGCAACAGGGTGAGCAGACTCCATATATGGTTCTATACACATAGGCCTACCCACCACCCGTGAACACCCCATATACCCCCATGCATAATATTGGTTGTTCTCAGGTGGTGGGCATGTATACATAACCATATATGGAGTCTGCTCAGCACATGATCACCCTGCTGCTAAGTGTATTCAGTGCTTCTGCAGCCTTATTAAAAGCACCTGTGCCTTATATGTATATATATATAGATATAGATATAGATATAGATATACACACCTTATTTTTGGCAAGTATATGAAAAGCAGCCTGAAAGTATGTGTGGAATGCAGGGATTTTCAAGGAAAAGTTTTGATATTTCGGGAAATATGCATATGCACTTTCTTGCTTCGAGTTAGATGAGAAGTCGATACCACTCGTGTGTACAAGTCATTCCCAACTTGTCAAATACTGACACTTGACTAGCGGCATCAGACACTAATGCACTGAGGCACCCTTTTGCGACGGTGTGGGACGCACCAAACAGTGGCATCCTGGGCAACTACCGTAGCATAAAGAGCAAGAAAGTCTACATGGGGTGCAAATTCGGGACTTTCACCCTGGACTGCTGTTTGTGTCCCACGTGAAACCATATGTCAGTCAAGTTATTTTGATAACAACGTAGTGTGTTACATGTACATGTAGCATATTATGCGACTAACGGCTATGTCACATGGTGTATCTGATGTATGTCACATGACATTGGTAATGAATGTGGTTCTGAACTTAACCATGCTTTTGTTGCCCAAACCTAAGGAAGAAGACTAAACCTAAAATCCAAGTTTTTCAATTAGGTTCTAAGTTGATTTTGAAAAGAGACTGTGTGCACTGAATGAGCAGAAGACACAATGCATGTAATGAGCGTAAATTCACACGCTGTCCTATAACATCCAAAACCAATGCTGGAGGGGTAGGTCTACATGGAGCGTCATAGTTGGATGTGTAGAGCCACTGACCAGACCAAGTGTCGGTATTTGATGATTTGGGAGTGAGAATGTGTTGATGTGAACAGTAAAATATGCAACAGCCCGGAGACGCTTATCTTAACTTAGCTTAGCTTAGCTTATTTTAGCTTAGCTTAGTTTAGCTTAGCTTAGCTTAGCTTAGATTGGTTTAGTTTTGCTAAACTTAACTGAGTTTAGCATAGCCAAAATCATGGAAACAGGGTGAAACAGTTAGCCTGGTTCTGTCTCAGGTTAACTTAGGGTAATTTAATACAGATTTTTCAACATGTTAAATAGCAGGCTTTAGAGGTGCTGCTGTGCTGTCAGCCTTTGACAGAACAAAGCTAGCTGTTTTTAACAATCTTAAAGCATCTTAAGGTAAGCCAAATGGAAAACTGGATGTAAAAGGTTTCATAAACACCTTTCATGATGTGTCTCTGTCATTATCAATGCACTCAAAGCTCTACATGTTTGCCTGCAGTAAACTCAAATTCAGGAACATTAGGGAGAACTGGTCTAATTTCAACGAGGAACGGCTTATCAAGTATCGCCCTGTTAACATTTGGGTGGCGGCTCACGTAGGAAACTCAAGCTGCACGTCCACCAGGAGGACTGTTATTCTCGGGCACACAGGTACTGGATGCTCCTCTCATTTAACCCAACAGCCTGTGAGATTAAAACACACCGCTGTCCTTTTTAAGTGAGAAGTTAACAGAAAATTTTAACACTGATCTGTCACTAAAGTTCACATATATCCTCAACAGTTAAGTATGAATCACCGAAAAATATCAACATGTCCTGGTTTAAAAACAACCTCAGTTTAAGCTGGACAGCTGCTGAGAAGCATCCGGCTTTAGCTGAGGTCCTGTTCAGACGAGACGAACACCCCACAGAATCATGGGAAAAAGTAAGGCATATTTTGTTTGCAAATCTAATGTATCTGAAGCTGTCCTCTACTTCAACTAACATGTTTAACCTTTTATCCATTTTGCTATTACAGAGAATAATTAATACCTCCAGTGACACTTCTATGTGTGAGTAGTCTCTTGTATCTTGCACCTTTGTAATTCAAGTCTTTTGAATAAAAAGTTCATTCAGCCTGATATACTATACTTGTTCTCGGGGATCTGTCTCATTCCAGTGATTTTTTATGTTTTAGCCCAGTAATTTAAATTCTCATATTTACATTACTGCTATTTTTCAAAGAAGATAATCTGTTTTTAGACCTGTTTTCTGACTAAGTTGCTGCAAGTTATAATACCAACTAAAGCAAACAGTGCATTAGTACAAATCTCAATACTTTATCACTTATCTCACCTGCCTGTGTCTCTCAGCCCATTCATTCCTTCTGAAGACATAAATCTTTAAAAGCCAATCACAGGCATAAAATGTTGTTTTTTTAAAGGCTCATGAAAATTGTAGTTTTTTTTTTACAAACCTTGCTCAAACTGGACAAAATAGTGCATTTTCTGGGGCTCAGTATGCGCAAGTGAATATTTACTGCAGCAGGCCAGTGAATGTAGGATTGACTTAAAATTGACTCGCTGTAAAAAGCACTATGTCAGAGTGCAACAGTGAGGCTTACTGATATGTTTTTAATAGTTTTTGGACAACAATGGACACCGAGTAATAACATATATCAGGCTTTGGAAGTAGCTGTTAATAGGTTTAAATCATTCTCTGGTCTTTACATGTGATTTGCTGTCAATGGGAAAAAAATGGAAAAAGGAAATTATTTTGTGTCACCTTAATGAAATGCCTTTGTTTTTCTTTTTCATCTGAACAGACAAGGTAATTGTCGTGAATCTGTTGAAGGATTCAGCTTACCAGGTTCAAATCAGACATCGGTCTACTCAGGCTCGTAACCCACTGTGGAGTGACTGGTCATCAGTTGTGACTGTTCCTGCAGGTGAAGTTCTAGATTTCATGGTGTATTTGTTAGTGTTGTGGACTTTGAATCCAGTGTCACAGCAACTGAGAAGACTGACTCACTCTGTAACTGAGTCTCCCCTCTTTACACTGTGGTGTGTCGGGTATGATTTCTGATCTGTGTACACTGAATATAATGAATCCAAACTCAAATATGAAATATAGGTCTTAGAAATATGAGTCTGCACCACTGCCGTGCAAATATCTTACATTATTTTACATGTCTGAGGTTTCAATTGCTCAAAATGTTTAAAGGTCACACTTTCCTGCTTTTGGAGATGGTAAACTTGTGAAGAGAAAACACAAACTATACTCAACTCGACTGCTCAGTAACATTTTGTGTTCATATTGCAGAACTTGAACAAGAACCTGACGTCACCATGACAATAAGACATTTAAATGGTACTCGTAAGGTGATGCTAACATGGAAGGTAAGCCAGTGACAGGAAAACAACACCAACACATTAACATTTGTGGGTTTAGATTAGAGCACAGTTTCTCAAAGTGCCCCATGGGCCAATGACGGCCCTCAGGAATGCTTTGTGCAGCCCCTGAACGTGACAGAAAACAAATGCATTACATTTCAATCATCTGAGGTCCATTTCAATACTTTCACTTTCAACAGCTTAAATTTAATATGCTACTCAGCAACTGCATTAAACTGTGTGTCCCTCTCAAGCCTCTGTCCAGTTAGGAATGACAACTTGTAGAAAGCTACTGTTCGCATGGCAGCTCATGGCACCACGCAAGTGTCGTGGGAATCATGATCTGTCATCAATACTACTGTAGTGTTGTTAGCTAAATTTAGGCAAGTTGGTGGACAACTTGGCAGTTTAATGCAGAAATGAGATGAAAAAGAACTCAGCGGCGGCGGAGCCCCGGGGGTGGATGAGATTCGCCCTGGATATCTCAAGGCTCTGGATGTTGTAGGGCTGTCCTGGTTGACATGCCTCTGCAACATTGCGTGGACATCGGGGGCAGTGCCTCTGGAGTGGCAGACAGGGTTGGTGGTCTTCATCTTCAAGAAAGGGGACCAGAGGGTGTGTTCCAATTACAGGGGGATCACACTCCTCAGCCTACCCGGTAAGGTCTACTCCAGGGTGCTGGAGAAGAGGGTCCGGTCAATAGTTGAACCTCAGATTGAGGAGGAGCAATGTGGTTTTCGTCAAGGAAAAGGAACCGTGGACCAGCTCTTTACCCTCGCCAGGGTGCTGGAGGGGGCATGGGAGTACGCCCAACCAGTCCACATGAGTTTTGTGGATTTGGAGAAGGCTTATGACTGTGTCCGCAGGGGCATCCTGTGGGGGGTGCTACGGGAGTAGGGGGTTGGTGGTCCCTTGCTAAGGGCCATCCAGTCCCTGTACTGAAGGAGCACGAGTCTGGTTCGCGTGGCCGGCAGTAAGTCAGACCTGTTCCCGGTGAGAGTTGGACTCCGCCAGGGCTGCCCTTTGTCACCGGTTCTGTTCATAACTTTTATGGACAGAATTTCTAGGCGCAGCCGAGTGGTGGAGGGTGTCAGGTTTGGTGACAGGAGGATCTCGTCTCTGCTTTTTGCGGATGACGTGGTCCTAGCCCCATCAAACAGTGACCTCCAGCTCTTGCTGGGACGGTTCGCAGCCAAGTGTGAAGCGGCTCCAAGTCTGAGGCCATGGTCCTCAGCCGGAACAGGGTGGATTGCCCACTCCAGGTCAGGGGGGAGGTCCTGCCTCAGGTGAAGGAGTTTAAGTATCTCGGGATCCTGTTCACGAGTGAGGGTAGGATGGAGTGGGAGATTGACAGGCGGATTGGGGCGGTGTCAGCAGTGATGCAGGCGCTTAACCGGTCTGTTGTGGTGAAGAGGGAACTTAGCCACAAGTACAAGCAGCCGAAATGAGTTTCCTCCACAGGGTGGCTGGGCTCAGCCTTAGAGATAGGGTGAGGAGCTCGGACATCCAGGAGGGACTTGGAGTAGAGCCGCTGCTCCTCTACATCGAGAGGAGCCAGTTGAGGTGGTTTGGGCATCTAGTAAGGATGCCTTCTGGACGCCTCCCTTGGGAGGTGTTTCGGGCATGTCCAACTGGGAGGAGACCTCGGGGCCGCCCCAGGACACACTGGAGGGATTACATCGCCCGGCTGGCCTGGGAACGCCTCGGGGTCCCCTCGGAAGAGCTGACAGAAGTGGCTGAGGAGAGGACTGTCTGGGCTTCTTTGCTGAGGCTACTGCCCCCGTGACCCGGACCCGGATAAGTGGAGGACGACGAGTATGAGTACGAGTACGAGATGAAAAAGATATTTTGTTTTATGTGTACACTTTTCCTGGGTGGCCCTTGATCATATGCTGGCTCCTGAAATTGACATTTAGTCATCAAAACTTTGAGAACCCCTGCATTAGAGCACCTTTTGGAACCCAGATCTAGAAAACAATGACTGCTTATATGGTTTTTGCTCACAGCCAATCACTGCCAGCATTCTTTGATTTATTTCGACATGTGATTGGTCCAATACTGCAGCAACCACAATCCATACAGTCTGAGGTGTGCTGAAGTCAAGCATGATGTATTTGAGAGAGTTACCGCCTAAAAGTATGGCTATAATATATGCCTGTGGCATCTGGTGGTATTTAACACAACTGAATTCAACTGCATTCCCATGATTGTATCGAATGAAGCAAAAAGAAAAACTGTGTTGGTATGAGCACTCACCATCTTTTAAATGATACTCAGCCCTTCTAATTATAATACCAGGGAAACTGTTGGGTACGAACCTTGACCTTTAACATTTCGACATTTAACGTCCACTTTGTATTAAGAATTTTAGCTTCAGTTTTTCGTGACATTTGATTTTGTTTTTGAAGTGTTTTTTTTCTCGAGCAGGAACTTCAGCATTAAGAGGAAAAAAATGACTTTTGACAAGTTGAAAGAAAAACACAATCCCACAATCTGACACATATTCATATGAGCGGCTTTTAAACTGAATTTTATGATTAGTGCTTTGAACAGAGTGGAAATGAGGTCAGAGGTGTGTGATCCATTTCTGGGTTTCACCGTGTTTTAACGGTTACTTCAGTGAGCTACTTTATATCATGAGTTCTGTATAAAAGCCTCGTTTTGTATCATTGTTTTGCATCGCTCTGTCATTAATGTATCTTTTTGTCATTTTGTGTCACTTTGTAATATTTTTTTTTGTCTTTTTTGGTCATTTTGTGTCTCTTTGTGGTTGTCTTGCCTCTTTTTGTAGATATTTTGTCTCTTTGCGGTTGTTTTGCCTCTTTTTGTAGTTATTTTGTGTCTCTTTGCAGCTACTTTAAATCTTTTTTGTGGTCATTTTTAATCTCCTCTTGGTCAGTAGGTGTTAATTTGAGGGACATTTTGCAGGTGAGGGCCAGTGGGCCCCCTTCCACTTTGCGCCCCAAGCTTCTGCCCACTAGGCCTGTTCAGTAATCTGTCCATGCTTCTACTACAACACTGCTATTACTAGAACCTGTACTAATTCTACCAACAACAACAACAACAACAACAATGAGGATAAGAAAACATTACAATTGGAGATCATGCTACTAAAACATTGTCTTACCAATGTGTTAAATCTTGTAGTGCATCGTGAAATCTGTCTTAATTTTTTTTTTTTTAAATCACCAAAACCTACAAATGGAGTTTGAATAATACATAACATGTCTTATAACAGTGGTACCCAACTGGTGGGTTGTGGTCCAAAAGTGGGTCGCAGGTCCATTCTAGAGCGCTAGCGTATCAACTTTGTAAAATACGCTCTTCATTTTTTAGTACAGTGAATTTCCAGCACAGAGCTTTTATTTTGAAGTGTCGATTCCTGCTTTAGAGTGAGTGAATGATGAACAGCTTCTTAATAGAGAAAGCAAACTAGTTTGAGACACGGCCAAACGCAAGAATGACGCTGATTATATTAAACTCTGGGACCTTGTACTAATGACTAAGGAGAAATCTGGACCCCATGGCTGGACCAGTTGGGAACCATTGTCTCATAAAATCAGTAAGACCATTTTGCACTTTAATTCAGATAATTTTATGGTCATGTGGTTCAGTTTGCTCTGTATGTCTCCTCTGCTTTTCAGCCAATGCCTCATGCAGCAACAGTCAGAGGAGTGATGTACAGCCTGAGCGACACACAGTCTTCCCAAGGATGTCCTTGTAAGAAAACGAGACATCCCATCAGCACGAATCGATACACTATTTATGTCTCGCTCTCTGCCGTCAACATCTCTGTTCTCGCCAGTAACACAGCTGGGTATTCTCCTCCAGCAGTCATACAAGTACCAGCCAAACCTCCTGCAGATTATAAAAGTAAGCTGAAGCGTGCGTGTTGCTTGAGGGTGTCATATATCATGTGGTCTATAAGTAGACCTTTAACACTGTTATGACTTCTCCCCCTTGCAGTTTGTGACAGAACGTTACTGGATGAAAAATCAAATAAGCAAACTTGCCTTGAGTTTTATGAGTTTCAAGATGAAGATCTGAGGCCAGCTCATGTGGTCACTCTTCTGGGAAGAGAGAAGAAAAAAGAGAGTAAGCACAAAAGACAGTGTAAGTTGTATTTAAAGTGCTTTTAACCACACAGCTTCATCACCTGAAAATGAGACAGGGCAGTAGCTTTGTCAGAGCCTATACATAAATGCCTTTACACCTTTATGGAATGGGTTCTGTTCTGGTTTGCACACCTGATTTTGAGTCGTTCAGAGAATATGGATCAAAATGAATTGGTCAGGACCCAAAAAGGTGGTGCAGCTGTTCTCGTTTCTTGACCCAAAGTGCAAACAATGATGACATCAATTGGCGTGTCATATTCTATAGGTTGAGAAGAAAGGATGCATGTCTTCTACATCTTCTTATCATTAATAGTTGGTCCATGTTTGTTTTCTGGACAAATTTGGTGGAAAAGGGTTAACAGCGGATTTGTCAATTATTTGTGTCAATTACTCTTACCTTGTTTATCTAATGTTGTGACACACTTTCTGTGCAAGGCAAACTATAAATCGTTTCTGTTACAGACATAATGGACTTCGTTCGCTACCTTTACTTTGAACACAGATGTGATGATGGCAAACCCCAGACAGTTAAAACGTGCCTCTTTTATCAAAACGAGAGCGGTAAGTGTCTTTAAATTAGATTTAACTACACTAAAATGCACAGGTTCACCATAATGTGGCACTCATTTTAGTCTTCTAACTGAAAGTGCTGCAATAACTCCTCCATATTAAACAAAGTACTTTATTTGTTGTTGCCCTCCAGGAAGACACATAGAAGTGTTTTCTGACACATCTGTCGTAGAGCTTTGATTGATTTTAGGCACACAAATTAAACACTGTGTCAAAGTGATGTTTTCCTGACCTATCCAACCACCTGCTCCTCCTCCTTCAGTGGACTTTTTGGCTCTATAATGATGCTGCATTAGTCCTTCCTTTATTCCCAAAAAGACAAGTAATCACTTTGGCTGCTGAAGAGCTTTCTCACTTGAACGTAAACATATGAAGATTTTCTTGGAGGATAGAAAAACTCTATGTGTCTTTGGTTTTTTAATGTATGTATTTTTTGGTTTTTGCCTGCCTGCTGTCCAGTAAAAGAACAATTGGATAGCCATGAACTGTTGCACAGACGTTCGTGGTCCCCAGAGGATGAATACTCAGGACTTTCTGGGTGACCTGACTTTTCCTCTAGTGCTACCGACAGGTGTTTTTTATTGAAATGTCTCTACAGCTAGTATCAATGTCCCCCTTGGGTTGAATTCTTATAACTTTGGTGATCTCCTATCATTTCATACAGTTCCGTCATCAGGTCAAAATTTCAATTTGTCCAATACTTTGATTAAATATTTGCAGATGTAATGACATTCCCATCAGCTGTACTTTGTGTTTGTGCTGAATAGAAAATGTTAGCATGCTAACATGCTAAACTAAGATGGTGAACATTGTAAATATTATACCTGCTAAACATCAACATGTTAGCATTGTCATTGTGCAGTGGCGCCCCTGGAGATTTTTCATAGGGGTGGCCAGACGGGGCCACTTAAACTGTCGGGGTGGCACATCAAAGCCAAAAGTTGTAACTGAATTTCAGGGATTCTATTATGCTGTTGAAGTATAAAGGCTAGTTGAAACAACGTCACTTTGGAGACTTAAGAAATCGCATACTGATATAGTTTGATTTCTCATCTTACAGATAATGTTCCTAATTATCTGATGTGCTCAGACTCATAACAGTATAGATAACATTTTGAGTTCCACAACAATCCTGTTTTAATGTGCAATATACTGTATCTGTGTACATGTTAGGCTATTCATGTTCTTCAGTTAGGCTGGTCGTCCTTTCCCTTAAAAAGAGACAACTGTACCTCTTGAATTTGAAATACATTGACAACCCGGTCTCACTCCAAAGTCATTTAAATCCAGCGCTTGGGCAGTGGCCTGCGGCATCAGACACTGACCAAAAAGGCGTCCTTTAACATTGGCATGATACACAGTCAGTTGCCATTATAGTTTAATGGCGCTTGGCGGCATCAGGGGGAAACGCAGCAGGACAAGAACTTTCACCCAGGAGAGTGGTGTTCATGCAAGATTATAAAGCCAAACCCTGTTCTTTCTTTCAAAACCTAACCATGTGTTTTTGTTGCTGGATGAAAGCAAAAATCAATTTGCATTGTTGTACCAATGTAGTGCATTTCTTTTGAAAGAGACTCTATGTAAACATTAAATTTCCTGTGAAAACGGAAGTGTATTTTGAAAGAAGACAATGCATGTAACAGGCATAACAGGGTGCACTAGAACGTCAACAACAAACGCACCCAGGGTACCTTGCACATCGTATGTGGACGTGGAATGTCCATGATCAAACACTGATATGTGATGGGGTCGGACTGAGAATGTGTTGACGTTGATTATGATGAACAAAACATTTACTGGGAACAAGTCCTCTCAAGTTCAGGGGAGGCTAGGTACTTACAGAACCCAGAGTTCTACAAACCCCTTTGAAAATGGCCATGCCAGCTGTTACCTCGCCCAAAATTTTGCCTAAGGGTGGCAGTTGCTCAGTCCATAGGGACTTGGGTTGGGATCCGCACAGTTCAAGTCCCTGTCCAAACCAAATATGGTGCATGGACTGGTAGCTGGAGAGGTGCTAGCTCACCTCCTGGGCACTGCTGAAGTGCCCTTGAGCAAGGCACCGAACCTCCAAGTGCTCGGGGTGCCTGTCCAAGGGCAACCCCCCTCAATCTATGTCAATGCAATTGGCCTTAGGTTATCTTGTTTCACAAGATACCTAGCTTTTTTTTAACTTAAAAAAATGAACACGCCACAGCCACTTAAAGGTCCAGTGTGTCAGATTTAGGGGAATATACTGGCAAAAATGGAATATAATATAATGAGTATGTTTTCTTTAGTTTAAAATCACCTTAATTATAAGAATCTCCTTGGCAGCCCCACTGTTATTGTGAGCCTGTTAGCATGCTGATGTTAGCGTAGCCTCATGAAGCTGCTCACACATTCTCACTCTGACCTCGTCACATATTGATGATTGGTTGTGGACTTTCTACGTCCACATTCAACATGCAAAGTACCCTGGGTGTGCTGGCTGCTGACGTTCTGGGACACTGTGTCAAGTTCTGCCTGTTCCATGCATTGTCTTCCTTCAAGATACACTTCTGTTTTCACGGGAAATGTAACGTTTTTTTCCCTTCAAAAACAAACACACATGGTTGGGTTAAGGCAACAAAAACACATGGTTAGGTTTAGAAAAAAAGAACAGAGTTTGGCTTTAGAATCTTTCCGGAAGCGAAACATCACTTTACCGAAGGTCGGTGTTTGTTTGACCCATCCACCACCCCTCCCACCCGCCCAAGTTGGACTTTCGCCGCCTTAACTTTCATCCTTGTCCTGCTGCGTTTCCCCTGATGCTGCCAAGTGCCGTTAAACTATAACTGCAACCAGCTGCATATCATGTTGATGTTAAAGGACGCCTTTTTTCTTTGGTTCCTGACGCCGAAAGTCACTGCCCTATGCACCGGATTTCGACGACTTCAGAGTGAGACTGGACTCAGCTGCTAGCATGGCTGTATATTTGTTCTGCTCAGCTGTGCAGTAAAGCAAAAATCATACTAAGTGTATGAATATATACTGTGTGAGACACACCAATCCCGCTGTTTATCAGGTTTTGGCCAGTAATGAGCTCCTCTTTCTTTATTTCCAATTTAAAATCTGAATCTCACTCTGCAGACCTGATTGAGACAATTCTTCCATATATATGTCTATGTCTATGTTACATGACTCTGACCACTCTGTTGCCATTACCCAGCATATTCAATGAAATGAGTTATGGTGCTGACACTGATGTGTGCTAAGTTTGTCCTCACATGCTGGTATCATAGGTCGTAGAAGGAAAAAAGTTAACCCACATTTTTATTTTTCTCTTCAGTTCCACGCATCGAACCTCAGAACTTAAGAGCTTTTGGTGAAACACAAAGTTCTGCCAGCTTTTCTTGGACAGCTATCCCCACTGCGGACCAGCGAGGTTTCCTTACACATTACATCCTCTGCAGTGAGAAAATCAGCTCACAGGATGAGCAGAAAGGTGTGAGGTCACCTTTTTTTGATACCTGTAGCTTTTTGTAATACTTAAGGTTTCTCAGAGCTAATGGAAAGAGAACTATTATACATTATTATATTTTCTGTAGTTGTATAATTACTTATTTTATTGCAAACACACAGAACTGGCGAACTAACTTTCACTTACAGGATGTGAGAAAATGAAACTTATCAATAACACAGCCACACTGTTTAACTGTCATGATTGTAGCGTGTGACTTTCATTCATTTTTTCCACATCTCATTTCATTAGAGTGCCATAACATATCAGCCTCACTAACGGAGCACTGTCTGGAAAACTTGACGCCAGGAACAAAATACAACATCAGCCTGGTTGGAGTGACACGAGTGGGAGAAGGACCTAAAGCCACAGTAACTATCAACATCCTGCCAGAGAAGCCAGTGAATGGTATCTTCCAACAGCTCTTTAGTTTTTGTTTTGTGTTTTGGAAAGCTAGATACAAGTCAGTGAGGCAGTTTTTCCACATGTGCCTGCTAACAAGTTTTTCCGTTTTCCCCCAAATTAGTGTTGTGGAGTATCAGCTTGCTGTTTATTTTCTTTTTCCTCACAACAATATGCACCTGTGTCTTGAAGAGGTAGGTGACCCCTGCTGTAAATAATCTGTGGTGGCAGTTTAGAAATGACTTCACAAAGACTGAACTTGGCTTTGGGAGAGAGTTTTATTGCAGTATTCACAATTGATTATCCAGGGCCCCAATGGGAGGGGCCCTTCAAAAATGTGGAATGAAAAGTTTGGTTTTGTTTGCAATGTCTTTTTATTTCCAAGTAATATGGCCATAACCAGTGTTGAGTTTGTCACTCTAAAAACTTATTACTCCCTGCAAACAGTAATTTGTTTCACTACTCGTTATATTACTTTTCCGTGACACCCCATAAAATTGGTAATTGCGTATCTCCCCAAAATTCAGATGTGTGCCTCTGTGTGAATGTCAGGGTAATCACCGGTAAATGTAGCTAAGGCTAGATAGCTTCCTTTTTTACCTGGGGGTTTTCTGTTGCCTGTGACCAGTATTTTCCCAAGGCTCGGCCTGAAAAACAGAGAGTCACTCATGAAGCAACATTTCATCTACCACATATCCAGCCACAAGCTTCATCCCTTCTTTGTAGCTGCAGCTGCCCATGAGTAAAATCTAGTTTTAGTTGTTTAATCAGTGCAGGGCTACAGCCAATTGCTGCGGCGGGCACACCTTTGGTGGGGTGTATTTCCTGGAGCATTACTTTGTTCTGTTGTTGGCTGTAGTAGCTGAGGTGTTTCACACCAGAGGTTTGAGGAACAGTGCAGCAGCAGCAGTGTTCTTGTCATCTTTCCTCCCGACAAAATCAAAGTAATCTGAATATTTCTAGCCACTAAGGTTAGCATTGCCAACTAGCTTGCTGCTTTGTGACATGCCTGCTCAGTGCAATGATTACTAAAATGAGTCCGCTGATGTGATGTTGCATTTCAAGTCAGTGGTGATGTGGTAACAAAAGTAACATTGTAACGAGTTGCTTGGTTTTGGAGGAAGTTATAAAACCCAATATCACAAATCACAATTTGCCTCAGAGGGCTTTACGGCATACGTCATCCCTCTGTCCTTGGACCCTTACAGCAGATAAGGAAAAACTCCCCAAAAAAACCCTTCAGTGGGGAAACAAATTTCAGTAATATTATTACTGAAATTTTATTAGTCATCAGTTACAGTAGTCGTAACTGGAAAAAGCAATATTATTATTGTATTGGCCAACACTGTCCATAACTATATTAAGACTGCCTGAATAAATTGGTTGAAAGACTGAACTTTGCATAAAAAATGGTAAAGTGACTCAGCGAGCTCTGAGGCCCCTCTCACCCTTAAATGCACAAAATGGTTTAGTCCACCTCTGCACTAGGATTCTTCTTTGAATGCAACTAAAGCCAAGTGATTGACAGCTCATGATGCTGAAGCACGAACACACACTGTCAAGTCTTGCCCCAATACAGGGAAATCAAAAAATTTAAAAAAAGGAAAGAGAAAGAAAGCAAACTGACTTTGTGCCTGCTCAGTTGCACAGACGGGAATTTAGTTTGTCTGAGTTTCTGTTTTAGTCTTTAAATCAGCAGTTCATCCTGGAGTGCTGTTTTTGTTAACAGTTTCTTCCCTGTTCTAACACTTAGAATCAAAAACAAGATTTTCCCCCCTGTGCCAAAACCTGTTATTCCAGAGTTCATCCCTTATCAAGCAACGTGTCAGGTAAGCGACTCTTTTTGTTACCAGGTATTTGCAGCTTTCTAGCATGTGTTGAGCTTTTGCTCTTTCTGAAACCCTGACAGCTGAAATCTGTAGTCATTTATAAACACAAGTACAAGTTCACTGCAGTGTCACAACTGCTTGGGGGAAAGTTTGGGGCTTTAACCATTTTGGATATGACTTGCACTCGTCATAGCACACGTCATAGCATCTTTGTTCATAATGAAGGGATTTTATTTCTTTGACTTTAATGGACAATAAAACATAAAACATCATAAATATCATGAAACACCAAAAATATTAAGTGGAATCTCAAAATGAAAAAAAAAAAAAAAAAAAAAAGTAAAAAAAATAATGACACAATGGGCCCCTGGGCCTAGATGCATAAAAGGCTCCCCTGCAGCCATCTTCAAAAACCTCTTGGTTACAGTTAGAAAAATATCCTGTCTTGTACCCAAACACCCAGTTTGGGTGGCAGAAACACAGCTGGAAATAACCACTTTTATTGTTTACTGGTCTTGAACAATGGTCTTCTGCTGCCTGCTGGTCAGCAGCTGTCTTGCCAAGGTGTCTCACCATCCATCTTCCCCTGCAAATCCTAATGAAAAAATCCCCTCATACACATGTAATCAGAACTATGTCACTTTAGAAACATTGATATGATGCGTATGAAGCATACAAATGTAACGTATCTGTGGTTTTCAGAAATGTACAATGCCAACATTTTCTCCTGGTGACTGGGCGGCCCAGGTTCAATATTCTAGATACTAAATTTGCAAAACATCTTGTGTGCCAAAGTTATTATAACGAGCCATCCAGAGGTAAATCATTTTATTGAACCAATCATAACACTGCAAACAAACAGGAGTGTTTCTAGAGGTTGTGTTTAAGTTCCATAAACTCTTGTTTGCTTGGAAAGGTTAGCCATTTTTTTTACTTTTTTTTCACCAAAAAAGGATGAATCAGCAACCTGGTTGCTCAAAGCTGTAAACTGTATAAAAGCCGACAAGAGGTAGTGCAAAAATACTGATTTTTTACACGATGACCATGACTAACTTTAGTTGTTATTTTCCTTCTGTTCTGTTTTTGTTTTATTTAGCGCATATAATACTTCCTCAAGGATCAATTCTGGGCCCTATTGATTTGTATTTATTATTGTTGCTGTTGTTGATGATGTGGCCCCCCTTTGTATTATGTTTTTTATGTAAACTCTTGCTGCACAACAAGGGGACAATAAAGAAACCTGCACAACAAGGGGACAATAAAGAAACCTAACCTAACCTAACCTAACGTAAAACATAATTTATCGTTATATTTCTTTGCAGATGACACAGGTGTTTTTGAGAATTCCACAACTTACCCAGTCTTTCATTGCCCTGCCCAACTTTTTGTTGTGTGCATCACATTCAGAATGAGTGTATATTTAGTGAAACCAATATAGTTTATCAGTTTAAACATTGAAGAACTTGTCTTTCTATGAATATAGGTTGATTAGTATTTGCAAATCATTGCATTCTGTTCTAATTTATGTTTTACAGTGTCACAACTTTTTTCGTATGGGGTTGTACTATACAACCCCATACGAAAAAAGTTGTATGGGGTTGTATAGTTTTTTTCGTATGGGGTTGTACTATACATGGCAATCAAAGACAACAGCAAGCTAAGGGTTTTACAGAACAGTGTCATTTGTTTTTTGTTCATATGATAATTAAGTCTGAAATCTTGAATCTTATTGTCCTCTGCAAATTTGACCTAAAACAGGAGATTCTGGAGAGAAAAGAGGAGACAGTGTATGAGCTAACGCTGCTCCAGCTACATCCAGAGGGCAAGTCAGTCCATGAGAACACAGAGGAGACCGCCATTCTCACAAGAGAGTGGGATGACGACACCAATAATGACTTGGAGGGCGAGAGGGGTGATTCAAGGATGTCAGGAGGAATCAGTGATGAGTGTTTGAGTCCTGGCTTGACGGATGAGGCTCTGAAGAGCTCCAGAGAAGGAGAAATATCAGAACTTGAACAGCTAGACAACGAGATTGCAATGCTGATATACAGGAATGGTTTGGTCTTTGATGTGAAGACGGACTCGCCTTGAAATGGATTTGACTGATTTTGCTGTCCACAGCACAAAATTGCACGAACATATTAAGGGTCGACATATTTGTTGACTTGTACTACAGACTGGACAAATACTTTTCTTCTCATTTTGAGCTTAAGTTTTCAACTGGATGAAAAAGGATCTGCACAATTGTCTTGTTATGAGCTTATTATGAGAAATGTTTGTTTAATTTTCATGTATATTAAATTTTACCAGTTACGTTGCTACCTCAGCATGCCAGTAAACAAAGAGGAGGGTTTATCACTCTCAGGCTTTGCCAGTGGAAGTTGTCAATGAACTTTTTTCTAACTGTGGTTAGCAAATTCTGGTTCAGACCTTTATGATTTCTAGTTTTAGGTGTGTGTACTATTGATTAGATCACCATGAAATTTCACTCAGACACTGATGGTCCCCACAGGATAAATCCTAATGACTTCAATGATCCTCTGACTTTTCCTTTTGCACCACCAGCAGGTCATAGTTTTACAAATTGTGGAATACTTTAATATCTAATGGATGAACTTGCACAGTGTTTTGGAAAGACATTTATGGTCCTCAGATGATGAACCCTAATGACTCTGGTGACCCTGTGACATTTATTAATGTAGTGCTAGTGTGCGCTCTGTGTGGAGTTAGCATTTTCTCCCCGTGTCAGCATAGGTTTTCTCCGGGTACTCTGGGTCCTCCCACAGTCTAAAGACATGCAGGTTAGATTAATTGTCGACTCTAAATTGGCCGTAGGTGTGAATGTGAGTGTGAATGGTTGTTTGTCTCTATGTGTTAGCCCTGTGATAGTCTGGCAACCTGGTGTACCCCACCTCTCACCCAGTGTCAGCTGGGATAAGCTCCAGCCCCCCCCCGCAATCCCCAGTAGGATAAGCAGTTACGGAAAATGAATGAATGAACAATCAAAAGTTATTAAAATCTAATGAAATAACTGAAAGTATAATAAGGATTCACTATTGAAACCAAGGACTGGATATTAAGTCAAAGTTTTTCAGTATGACGCCAGTCTATGGCCAATTATTACATTTATTTCACCAAAGACCAAAAAGACATGTTAGACCTCAACTTTTAACTACGAGTTTGGTTTCCTTTACAACAAACATTACAGCTTCACAGAGTTGCTGGAGTCACTGTTGACTCTTGGTCAGCAGCTACATCTAAATCAAAGTCAATAAAATGTAGTAAAATGCAATCAAACCATAAAAATGAATACAGCACATTTACAGTCACTGTTATTTTAATTTAATTTAATTTTGTTTTATTTTTTGCAAAATAAAGCAATGTGCAAATGTCAGTTTTCCTTCAAAGCGTCTGGTCCATGTTGGTCAGTGTAAAATGAAACTTATGACTGCAAAAACAAAGAACTGGTGCATGTGTGTGATGGCGGAGCAGTTTAACTGTAAGCGTGTCTAGAGTTGAACACATGACAGGAAGTGGTCACAAAAAAAACCCAGTGCCCTTAAAAAAAGGTAGCTCATGCAAGGTGAAACAGATTACTCATTACCAAAGAGACTTCTGTGGTGTTTCGATCTACCTTGTTCAAACTAGAACATGTTGTGTTGATTTGTAAGAAGTGATGACTGACTAAAAGCATTTTCTGCCACACTGCACTTTAGTTTCTCTGCAGAGAAAAAGGTTTTTTACTTTGTTCTTGTATTGTTTGGTTGCGACCTTCTTGAGGAGAATGTCACTGTGTTGCAAAGCAAAAGATATGGCAACAAATTTAATACAAATCTCTCTCAAAAAAAAGAAGTAACATTATCAACAGAATGTGAGGGAGTTTTGATGCTGCAGAGATATCTATTGAGATGAGCATATTAATCAGCAAGCTCCCACCCATCCTGTATTATGAAACCCACTTGTACCTTGGGGGGCAACAGTGACCTCACTCGATTATGAGAGATTGAAGAGAGGCCTCAAAGTTGTACTTTAATGCAATGATTTTTTCACACAAGAACTACTGTTTGACCAGCTGATCTCAGACTGTACAAACAGACGTGAAAAACATTAGATAAAAAGTCAAATTCATATCATCCATGTAAAATTTTAACAAAATATGATTTTTTTAAATTGGGAAAATATGATCGATTTTGACAACTTTTTATTTATATATGAAATTCTTCATGACCTGGCACCCCTTCCACTCAATTAAGTCATTAAACAAAATCAGGCCTCATCTACCAGATCTACCTTCAGGGGGGACTGTAAAATGCCACACAGAAACAGCAGCTTTGGATAGACAGCCTTTTCCAATCGAGCCTGGTCTCACTCTGAAGTCATCGAAATCCGCCGCTTTGGCAGTGACTTGTGGCCTCAGAGACCAACAAAAAAGCCGTCCTTTATCGTCGGCACGATACATGGCAGGTTGCCTTTATAGTTAAACAGCACTTGGCAGCATCAGGGGGAAATGCGGCAAGGCAAAGACGAAAGCTAAGGTGGCGAAAGTCTGACTGGGGTGGGCGGGAGTGGGGCGGATAGGTCAAACAAACACAGACTTTCACCCGTGAAAGCGGTGTTTGCGTCCCATAAGATTCTAAAGCCAAACCCTGTTCTTTGTTCCTAAACCTAAGCATGTGTTTTTGTTGCCTAAACCCAACCACGTGTGTTTGTTGTTGAAGGAAAAAAAAAACATCAATTTGCGTTGTTTTACTGACATAGTACGTTTATTTTGAAAGAGACTATATGTACACGTTAAATTTCCTGTGAAAACAGAAGTGTATTTTGAAAGAAGACGAAGCATGTAACAGGCAGAACTTGACACGGTGTCCCAGAACGTCAACAACCAACACACCCAGGGTACCTTTCACATCGTATGTGGACACGGGAAGTCCATGACCAAATGTCAATATGTGATGAGATCGGAGTGAGAGTGTGTTGTCCAACTGAGCAGCACACACCCGGAACACTGTACCCATAGAACTCAGGAACATCACATGTCTGAAGTCATTCTCCAAATCAATAAAATGCTGGTTACTGGACAATCAAAGATGATCTGAATTAGTGGTTACATTCTTGTTTTTTTGCTGTATGTTCAGGCTTATGTGCTTTCGTATTGTACGTTTTCCTTAAAGTGCTTTGGTTTTATGGTGATGTCACGGTCTTGCTAATTGTGCTGGTGTGCTGTTGTCCTCGCATATGTGCTTTTGTGTGTTTGTGGCTGTGTGTTTTGGTCTATGGTGTGTTTTATGTTGTACTTTTGTATAATATGTTCTTAATTTTTTTTGGTGATATGGTTATGTCATTGTTTTATTAATAGTGCTTATGTCTTGTTGTTTTTGCTTATGTGCCTTGCTATGTGCCTTTGTCTATGGTTATATGCTTGCTCTTTGCTTATGTGCCCTTCTATGGACATGCCATCAATCCGCTTTTATCTGTGCTTATGTGCTTTTGTATGTTATTTTAATGTCTTTTTCTTGTATACACATATACCATCAACCTGCCAGGGACTATGTGTCACAGTTCATCTCTGCCTCACCACTCTGCACCTGCCTGCTTCAATCTGCCAATCAGACACACCCCTCTCATCAAGCCAACTCCTCTCACCTGTACTCTCTGCTCTGCTCTGGCTGCATTTAAGCCCCTGCTCCACACTCATTCATTGCCAGATTGTTCTCGATGCTTGCACCAGACTCTCCAGCGTTTCTCTGCCTGATCTCCCGGTTACGACCCTGCTTGCCTCCGACTATCCTGCCTCACCGATCTCCTGGAAATCACCTCAGCCTTCCGTCCCCGACCACGATCCTTGCCTGTCCCTTTCTGGGTTCTGCCTGTCTGCTCCCTTGGATATCAGGTGATTACCTGATTCAGCTCTACAGAGTGAGTGTTACTCCCGTCTCCTCTGTAGCTTCCTGAAGTTATGTGACTCTGATTATTCCTTCACTGAGTGAGTACAAGACTGAGTTTTACGGACATTACTCACCAGTGTCCTGGTTTGGTTCGGCTAAGCCTAACCTCCAATCCCCACTAAAGACTGTTAAAGGCCAGCGGCCAGAAGACAGACTGTTTTGCCTACTGCCATTGTTTGCTTGACGTGTGCTAATAAAGTTTGTTACCAATGATACCTGCCTGTCTTTGTGGCGCTATTGGGTCCAATCCAAACCCTTTACACTATGGCTAAATCTGGCACATTTACGTGACTTAAGTGATCATGTTAATTAATGTGCACTGTCACTTTCTAAATAAAATAAACATAAGAATAGGTTTTGGAGGGTGGCTGAGTACATCGCAAGTCGTTTTTTGTTTGGTTTCTGGTTTTGTTTTGTGTGTTTTTTTTTTTTTGTTTGTTTTTCTTTTCATTTTACATAGCTAATTTACGCTAATAGTTCATTTAAACTTAGTTGATTCAAAATAAATCTGACTCTGAAGAATGAGTGAGAGCCATAGCCCCTACACAGTGGGCAGAGAGACAGCAGGGAAAAACAGCATCTAGATCCAGCATTTTTCACATCAAACTTTTTTTTTTAACCACACCTGAGTTTTTGACTACTGGAAAAGTAGAAAGACTAAGAGATTTAGTTTTTGTGTCTCAAGTCTCTTTGTCACGGTGTTTGAGAAGATGTCACACATTAAATTGTCAGTGTTGCCTAAAGGCTCTAATGCATGTTATACTTATAAAGGTAAATACATTAAACACAGCTGCTTGTCCGCTTTTTAGCTGGTGTCCTCCATGAATACAGTGGAACTAGTCCATACCCATTGAGTGCACAGTTGCCCATGTACAGTTTCACATGGCGTGTGTTTGGGATACAGGTCATAGGAAATTGCAGATTGAATAGTCAACTGAACCTATTAAGAAGAGCAATGTATTCAGAGTGTTTGTGAATTTGATAGTACGATTGCTTTATTGAAAGTACAGTAGTGCCATTGCCAATAGTGGGATAGTTAGTGGGCTAAAACTGTACATTAGTAGTTGAGGTAGCACGTTGAAAGGCAGATAGTTAAAGTCATTGCCTTATAGAAGCTCAGTTTTAGTAAGTTTTCCAACTTTTGCCAAGAGGGAACTTTAGATATTGGTCCCTAGATTATGTTTCATGCAGATCGGTCAAACTTCCTAGGAAGAGATCCATTTTAAGTGTTTTTCAAAAAATTCAAAATGGCGGAAAATCTATATAACCGGAAGTTATGGGTTCTTGAGGCATTTTGGTTCCTCATGAGGAGAGGCATCTCTGTGTTCATGTCTCTACGGCATACAGGGCATGAGATATGCCCATTCAAAGTTTGCAATTTCAATCAGTTGCTATAGCGCCCTCCTTTGGCCAATTGATGTAATATTGCTTCATTCGCATCTTCCCATGACCCTCTACCACTGTGCCAAATTTCACATGGATTGACCAAGTCAGTGAGGAGAAAAACGTGGAACAGACACACCCAAACACACACCCACAGAGTTTTCCTCACTATATAGTAAGATTCTTAAATGGTTGTTACATGTTG